CACCTATCTTGAAAAATACATGAGTAGATTCTTAATGGCAGATGATTGCAGAATGGACTGAGAGTGCCTGACCAGTGTGGTTTGACTTACTCAAGACTGAGAAAATTATTTATATTACTGTAAGAAATGAATCAAATGGAAAATGAATTATGGGTTAATCAATTAGGGATTGCTAGAGCATCCTCACTGAACTTTGTTTTATTAGGAGATGATAATCATGATGACCTTTTCGTTCTATAAAGGAAGACCTGCGGGTATTCATGACATGGAGTGGAGTCTAGAAGCTGTCATAGAGAAAGGGAAAAAGGATGGGCAGACTCTGAGAAACTTATTGGGAAAATTTTAAAACTCCGATTCAATTTGAAGATCATTACAATGGGTGTTCAATCTTAAGCACTTTAATAGAAAATTAGTTGCTCTTGTTGAAACTTATTAGAGACAATGGACACTCTCTATGAGCTGGAACTATATGATGTCTAGTGCTTCAAGGGAAATCACTTTTGTAGCTCAGCATCCCAGTGTTCAGAAAATATGGAGCAATACAAATTCCTTGTGATAGGGATCCAGTGGATTCCTCCATGCACACGTGTCAAACTGACTGATGAGATTTGCAGTCTTCAGTATCTTATTCTTTTGAGAAGTTTATGGCCATGATAGACATTAAGAAATACCCAGAATAATGAAAAGAGCAACTTTAAAACCTATTCTATAGCTCTAAAAGAATTCTTACAGTAATTTCTGGACTAATACAAAATTTACTAAAACCTATTCCCAAGGCTGCTCTTTGTAAATGTTGTAAGGTAATTTTTTATCTTCTGTGTTTTGTTTTGCTGAGTTGACTGCTAAAATGAACCTTCAACAAAAGGGAAAAAATCCAGTACAGCAGCCAAGGCTATGGAAGGCTGTGAGGATTGTAAGAGTTTGTGGCCAAGCCTACACAATGCTGAGCTAGCAGGTTCAATCCTGTGTTGTAACTACGTGAGTTAACTGTGTTTTAACTATGGAAGTTTCCCCTCTAGATCTCATTTTGAAGCTTGGTTACGTATAACTAAATCACAGTTTGGGGTTAGGCTTGGTTTTAGTGGCTGAAGTAATCAAAGCTGTCAGCTGTGCAGGTCTGAAGAGTCTACTGTATACATGCCCACTGGTAGTGAGATGGGCGATGTTTATGTGATACTCATCCAGTTTTCCAACTGTCTCCATGTACAGAAACTCTGGTTTCCGTAGGCAGATACCTCTGTACTTGAAGAAATGAGTATTTGCCATTGCAAGCACACCTCTGAATATGCATATGAGATGGGGAGAGTTACAGAGTATATATGGCCAGAGCAGGCAGTGGAATTAGTATATCCAACTGAAACTTCAGAAAAAAAATTAAGAAATTGAAATTAAACTCTTCATGCCGGAATTTCTAAAAAATATTAGCCATACAACTTTGCCAAAATGGAAGATTCCTAGTTTAAGTTCCATGCCGAAGAGTACATGTTTCACAGGACATTTCCCTTTCTGCCTGTGATGGGGCCAATGGGTCAGTACTGGTTTGGAAAAAAGTTTCCACATACCAGATCACTGACATTTTCTGTTGTGAGAAGAATAAACTTGGGTCCTGTGCTCATCTCAGAGCAGTCATTTTCATTTTTACTGGTTTACTTTTAAAACTTTCCCATGTGCAGTATCTAATTACGGTACATTACAAAATTTTGTATTTAAATGGTAACAGTGCACAGAGCTGAAAGGGACTGTTGGTAAGTTGCTTATTCACTTTGATGATTAAGCCACTAATTATTGCATTAGCATCCCAAACCACACTTGCTTCTGATGTATCTCCTCCTAAAGCAATCCCACGAGACATGATGGGCTGAGTAGAAAGGGTATGGCACTTGAAGAAGGGAAGGGCAAAGAACAAGTAGGAGATAGTGCCAGGGATTAAGCAGAGGTTGCTTTCTCCTCTGTCTGCTTCAGGGTGACTCAAGATAGTGCTGGGGTGTGGCACATCAAAAAGGATTTTTTTCCTTAGAGATGTTAAAATAGACCTTTCCACTAATGGCTATGAAAGACCCTATGACACTTCCTACCAGGTCTTATCACTGAGGCTATGCTCACACAGCAATCAAAGGAAATAATTTTAGTTGGTTAAACAAAATGGCCTTTCAGCTTCCACACCACTGTGGTGTTCAGCTGCTCGTGCTGTTCTGTGTTCCTGTCCTGAAATGTTTGGTAACACTGCTGGATCCCATTTATCAGCTGCCTTCCATCTTCCCCTCACCTGAGACAAAACTTTTGGTGTCATTACACTGTACTTTTTAAAAGCATGAATGCTTTATGACACTCCTAAAAGCAAAGACATAAACCAAGTGTAAGATACTACTTTGTGTCTTCAGAAGCTTTTGGCTTTACATGATAAAATTCCATAAATAAGTTACTTGAAACAGATTGCTCATTGGAAGACTGATGGGCACTGATCCCTCACCCCTGCAGGTACTGTTTAGTTTCCCATTAATTCCTGAAATTTTTCACTTACAGACCCATTTCAGTGGCTTTTTCAAGCCCAGAAGGGACACTTTTTCCACTTTCCTGGATTATAAGAGCTACCCTTTTACTTGTACCTCTCAGCAAGAATCAACATTTCTTTTTAATTCTTAAGGAAATATTTTTTATTGAATTGATGGCTTCCTGAACTGTATCTGAGTATGGATCAGTTTCTGTAGCAGAAACGTCCTCCTTGCACTTTTAAGGTTATAAAATGGCCTGATGTTGAATTTGAGCAAATGGCTAGATTAAAAAAAAAACAACTTTTACAAGCTTTCCTGAGGGAAGACCATTTCATTACCACAGAAAATGGGGGATCCTGTTTGCTCTGTGAAAATCTGTTAGAAAAACTCTCCAGTTCCTTAATTAGTGTGCTAATTAATTGTAGTTCTAGAACATGAAAGAATGTTTGAACATCCAGGGCTGGGCAGGTGAAAAGAAGCCTCAGCTGAAGATTTCTAAGTAGACCACTGAATGCAGCCTGCAGAGGTAGTGATTCAGTATAAATAGCAGAAACAAACCTTGGTGGAAGGACTGGTGCATACTTTCTCCTGGACATGCTATTTGAAATTGCATGTTCTGAAGCAAAAAAACCACATAAACTAAAAATTGCTTCTCTGACACTTTGATGAATCAGATTGAAAATTACCTTGGGCTGGAGTCCAGTGATAGAACCACCCTCTGTGCCCCACTTTACACCAATAATTATGATATGCAGGTATGTAGAGAACAGCATTTAGGGTGAAGATGCCAGTCATTTTAAAAGGCTCTTGTCTTTGAGGGACTTTCTTTCTTTCATTCATGCATTTCCTATATTCTTTCTTCACTCTCTTCTTTGCTGTGAAGTTATCTATTTTTCCCCCAACAGAATTAGCCAATTAATTGCATTCTTCTTTCCCTCAGTCACTATGCAATATCCCATTGGGTGTGTAACCTTCTCCCTGGAACAACAGTGGTACTACTCTCTTTCTCAAAGCTGGAGAAGAGGTTGCAGGTACTAAAGCCATGAATCCCCTGGTAAGTGGTGAGGATTACTTGGCTGTGAGTTGCAGCCAAACACGGACGGTGGGTCAGGGATGCATTTGGATAGGTTTAAGGACCATCATGATGCACAAACTGGCAGTAGACCAAAGTGGAGGTTGTTTTAGGGAACAGATCTCAGACACCATGCTGGAGCAAATGCCAGCAGGAACTTGGAGAGGGGTGTGTTGGTTTTGGATAGTAAGCACACAGAAGAGCAGAGTCCAGAGAAGGAAGTACCCAAATAACAAGTTGGCAGGCATCCAGGATGGGTAAAAAAAGACACTGAAAAGACCTTGACAGATGTTTTCATCTTGTTATTTTGTCTGTCTGGTCCAGAAAACAGTGATAGTAAATAAAAAGAGTTTGGTTTGAAGACAACAAATTGGAAGGGAAAAATATATTTTTGTAGGACAAAAGTCCACTCGCTGTGGAATTCATTTCCATCCACTGGCCAATTCACTTTTAAAAGCCTGAAAGCAATTCAGCTTCCATTACTTCTCTTGTGGGAACTGTGCCTGTTCTAATAAATGTCACTGTTCACAAGCTTCTCCTGGTGTAAGTTATGCTTACACTTCTCATTTAATGTTTTCAAAGAACAATTCTTTCTCCTGTGTGCTGTGTTCTTCTAATATAGAGAGGTAGTTTGGTTCTCTTTCCTTTAATCATTGCATGGCTAAACATGCAAAAATCTTTAAATCAATTATTACTCCTCTTTTCTGAGTTTCTTTAAAGTCTTCAGTCAGTATTTTTATACACCAGGCTTAAGCTCTACTCAGGTTCAGAATAATGCATTCCTAGATATCAAACAGGTTGCAGTAGGACATAGGAGAAATTGGCTACTGTTTGCAAGCTCATCCTTCTGGAAGGAACCATGTACCTTCAGTTTTCTATTAAAGGTTTCTCAGCTCTATCTCTAAGGCAACCGTTGACCTTACAAATATGCTCATCATCCTCTAGTCAGATGTAAACTACATATCCTCTCAAACTGAGGTGCTGATGATGATTTTTTTCCCACAAACCAACTTAAATGTCACTAATTTCAGCTCAGGTCATTCCTCAAACACTTTTTCATCTACTGACTGTCATTCAGTCCAGCAACTAAACAGTTACCAAAACATCATCTCTCCCCTAATTGTAGCAATTTGAAAGACAAAATAACATTCTGCATTCTAATTATTTTATAATTCCTCTGATTGTTATTTATTCAATGTGCAAATCATGCGTGTAACTCCCACACGCCTGGTGTTGAAGAAAATACAATACTAAATGCTTACAAATTTGCAGGAATAAATAGGCAAAGGTAGCTCATTTAAAAGCCACACTATGCCAGTTCCTCAGAAGGGTTCCCATCTAAATCTGCTGAAGTTATATAAACTTTGGAGTGTATGTCCAAGCCCTTGACCATGAATCCTTTGGGTCATCAGATTCGATATGCCTTCTTGTATAGGGGTCTTTAAAGTAGGATCTAGAGGAGGACTGGAGCATTAAATCCCTCTCAAGGCTGGAATTAGCAGTCTCACTCCCTGTGGGACATAAGAGAAGAATTGGATGAAAGAGCCCCATGACCCAAGCCCTGTGCACCAGGCAGGGACCCCTCAACAAGCAGCTGGTAAGCAATGCAAGTGTAAGGCTGTGACTGAACTCTCACACTCTCTGTGGAGCTCACAGTTCTGCTGCAGGCCCTTAGGAATGTGTTTTTATTTAATTTTCTTTCCTTTAAAACAGAGACTTTAAAGAAGAAGGAATTCATATTACCAGCTATTGAGAAGGAGGAAAATCTAGTGCCTTTTAAATGAGTGGTGCCACCTCAGTTTGCAGTGCCAGTGTCTCCCACTTCACTCCTACTATCTAACCTAGAGGAATTAGTCCAAAAGCCCAGCTGAGTCATCTGCTCAGAAGGGGTGTTGGATTTTGGTTTTCTCAGTTGGGGGAAGGTACTGGAAGCTGTTTACCCCATTTCATGGGCACATGCTTCAACCAATCTGGGATAACAGCAAAGATAATGTCAACACCACTAATGCCACCGTCTCTGTGAATCACTTTTAAAATTAAAACGGTGTGTTCCTTGCAATTTTTCAAAGAGCAGTTATAAGCCCTGCTCTCAGGAGAGAGCTCTAAACCCTGGATTAAAACAGGCGAGGTGCTTTCACTCATCCTAGATAAGATGCCAGAGGAGAGAGACAGACTGTGGCTGTATATTTGTGCCCAGCTTTTCCTATTGCCCCTCCACAGGCCTCTTCCCTCTCAGCATGGGAGATGTTCAGATAAGCATTTTGAGGTGTATAGTTCTCCGCAGGCACCACATGGGGAGACTTAATATTGGACTTAGAGTATTAAGTGGTGACCAAAATCCTAAATGCAAGCTATTAAAACACAAGGTCTTCTTACTGGATCTAGTCACAGCCTAAAAGCCTCTCTTGCTCCAAAAAATGTCAGTCACAGCAAAAAAGAGTAGCAACCAGCATTCTTTATGAACAGGTTTTGTGTAATGAAACCCATTCTTCATGCTAACTAAATTATCTGTCTTTTAGAAACCTTATTAGAGTAATACACAAAAATGTACAGGAAAAAAATCTCTCTTTACCAGTGCTCCATGGAAAACACCTTTACTGATGCTTTTGTAGAGGGAGTTTCTTCTTGCCTTTTATTAAATTGTGTACTAGTCGATCTGCCATAAATTGTTGTTTAGCACTGATATACAACATTTCTACTGGAGATGACAGAAGATTTAATACTAGATGTTTTTTGCTCACCTCATCAAGGTTATGCCTCTTACTTTTAATGTGCATTTGAATCACATCTTCTAATGCCCTTAAAAAAAAAAAAAAAAGGAACATCAGTGCAAAAAAATCCAACTATTCAAAGGCGATTTTAAAATGACTTTTAAAATGAAAAATAACCACACATCCTGTCTTTCAGATCGCTTAAAATGCGATCTTTCACTTTTGCTCCATCCCCTCCTTATCCCTACTGTACCTGTAAGTAATTAAAATATTAAGGATTTTAAGGTTGTTGGGTATTCTCATTCCAAGTGAATGCAGTTTGGAAGGAACTATGCTAGGGACAGACTTTCACGTATATAATTCCAATTTCTTCTTCCACATTTAATAAAGGTGTAGGAGTATTGGTGCTCTCCATCACAAGGTAACAGTTCTCTGTATTTTGGTGGGGCCTAAGTCTCTCTTGTTATTGTCAAGTACTGTCTCACCATGTTAGTTGGGTCAAACTGCTGGGAGTACTGGGGTGCTGGGCAGTACTGCAATCAGCCTCCTAGATTCATTTATAGGATGAATTCTATAAGTTCCTTTGTCCAGTATACAGTGTTACTTAAAGAGGGCTTTTGAACTGCCTCTAGCCAAAACTTTTTAGACTCTGAAGGTCATTTGCATGATCTCTTTGTTCTTGGATCTTCTTTTCAGGGAAGGTCTCCTTCCTCCTTCTGAGGGAAGCACTGAAGGTTGAACTTCAATTTTCTTAACTAATTGTACTAGGGAAAGAGAAATGTCTTCAGAAAGTACTCTCAATATTTTTTTTATAGCTCGGAGCCCTGCAAACAAAAGATGTGCTTATGGTGATGAGATTCAGTAAAAATAAAGACATACCCGATCAGGGAAATTTGGTCTCTGAGTTCTACAATCATAATTGAGTTAGATCTAACTCAGCTGTTGCATTTTCAGACAATTGTAAAAAAGTTAAAATATCTGCAGTGAGCTGGAGGGCTCAACAGAGCTGGTTCAGTTGCATTCTGCCTATCAGAATTGGGAGGGCGTTTATGATTTTAGCTGTAGAAAACACGCCTAAATAAATGGAGACTTTAAAATATGTGTCTATCATATTAATCCTGTAGCAGTAGGTTAGCTAAGACCGCTAGTTGTGTCTTTTCTTGTTTGACACAAAACATATCTAGAATTTCAACTTCTGATTTTAAATGAAAGGATACTATCAATTGCTCGCTTTTATTCTGCAGAACCATTAAGTGCTGCTACTAGAGATGACCCAAGAAAAGTATGGATGATTTTTCATGTATTTTTGAGGGAAGAGCACATAGCATTTAAACAACTTCCATCTAAAGTCAAGAGAGTGTACCTTTCACCCTATAGGCCTAAGCACCCACACCTTGGTGCCCCACAGTGTTCTGATTTGGACTTAGTGTGAAACACACACACACACTCTTATCTTTTCTTTTGACTGTACATATGGGCAGGCATGACACTCTGTGACCTTTTCAAAATGTGTTGAGTTAGTGTTTTTCAAATCTGCTACTGTTCCTCCCAGTGTATCCAGAGAATTCACTTCTAATTTGGTCCTTATGTTTGTCTGAAAACTGTAATACCTGGAAGGAAGGAGGGGAACTCCTACCTTCAACTGATTGCTCGGAATAAAAACCTAATGACTTGGGTCAGTGGCCATTAAATTATTATTTTTTTAAAGGGGCATAGGGATTTTAACTCAAATCCTCTAGATTAAAAGAGAAATGACTTGTAAGACTGAGCTGGATTGATTGCAGGATGTTAGCACCTCTTTAGCATCAAAACACTGCAGGTGACAAAGACCAAAATCTTAAACATTGAGGTTAAATCCTCTATCAAAGGAAGAGTTTTTCCCATTTAAGATGTAGGCCAGGAAATTGCATAGGACAGGGTCACACAATGTTGTTGCTTTCAGCAGGCCTATAAACAGACCTGTGGTTTATCCCAGCTCTCCAAATATTAGAAATGTGATAGATTACTATTAGAAATGTGACACAACATGAAACCAGAAAAGGATGCAGCACTAAAACACCAGCAGCACAGGGTGTGTTTCATTCTAGCCTTTATGTACGGATCATTAACTTGGTAGGATATACATACTAAAGAAAGCAATTACTGGATTTATTTATTTTGCTTTTATAGGACGGAGAAAGAACTCTAAAGACAGAATCTGGATATGATGAACTTTGCTAGGGAGGAATTGTTGCTCTATGGCTTGATAGCTCAGGTCTGACTGGGAACTGGGAATAGACTGTTGTAACAATAATGTCCATTACCCTACTGTACAAGGGAATGGGCTTTAAAACAGGGGAAGAGAATATAATGCTTCCATGTTTCTAGTGGAATTCACTGGGAAATGTGAGGCTGGCTGGAAATATTTTCTGTTCAGCTGCTCAGTTTAACTTATGACTCCCATAAGGTACAGTCACAAAAATATTCATCAAATTAAACTGATACAAAGTTACACTTTTCTCTCATTAAAACCACCAGTTCTTCACACTGATTGAATAAATGGTCAAAATTTTGTTACTCAAAGGAATAAATATGAAAGGCAAAGCACTTACTCTCCGTGGTAACAACTTGTAATCAAAATATCATTAGTGAGATCTTGGAGAAAGCGAAGATATTCTTCTTCTCTGTACAAATACAGAAGTTGTCACCATCTTTCTTTAACATACACTCAATGCAAGTAAGGTTTACAATACCATCCAAAGAAGCAGAAGTTTTAGAGTAATTAAACTAGCTCAAACAAAGAGTTTTGTAACCTATCCAAAAGTGATGAATCTGTTAACTAGTCTGCATTTTTTTAATATTCCGGCTTATAAGTTTTAGAATGACAAATTTTGACAGCTCTGTTGGTCAACTCCCAGTTACTTTAATCCATTAATTTCATTAAACAAGAATACCTATGCCTTTTGTGAATAATCAGTTAAAAATAGTTCCAATGAACAAAGCGTAGGTATCAGCAGATAAATTACTATTAATATTGTTTTCTTATTAATTGTTCTTAGCATATTTATTTTGCCTACAGTAAGAGGAATGGCATGACTAGGAAAAGATCTTCCAACTTTCTGATCCCATATTTCCCAAGGAAGTAGCTGAATCCCGCATTCCCAGTATAGTCACTCTACTCTCCACATACAGCCATTGGTAATTGCCACTTGTGCCTTGCTTTCAATTTGCCACCAAACTCCTACTTTAAGATTTTGATATGAAATGTAGAAACAGTTAAAAGTGACAAACAAATATTTGACTTACTTTTCTTCAAATTGTAATCCTGGAAAAAGTGGTATTTCAGAATTTTGAACCCACAATTCATGGTTCTGCCACAAAAAGGTAACGGAGATAAGAGTAGATAATTTGTTTAATTATCTTTGTATTAGCATCATGTATTTCCATTCAGAGTACCAGGGGAAATGATCTGATTTCACAACATATCAAAATCACAACAACATCACATGCCAACTCATGTGAAATAAACATCTTGAGAATCAATCACATAAATAATGAACAAGTATTATTATTATTAGGTTCATTCATGTGAGCAGAAATGGAAACAATCTGAGAGAAATGATACAAATGCTATGAAGGAAATAAGAAATTCTGACAAAACCGAAAACCTTTGCAGACTTTGTACTTTTTCTTTAGAAAGACATGCAAAATACATTTGTATCTTTGAAAGAAGACTTAGAAAAACAGATTGACATCAAAATTATCTTTTGCTGTGGCTCATCAAATGAAAATAGGAGTTTCTCTTGATAATATTGTTAAATGAAGGTTTTGGTGGTTGGAGCAAGGAATCAAATGATATCTAGCATAGGGCTATCACAAATCATGCCTGTGGTGCCTTGGCTGAGCTGTGTAGAAATCCAACATGGATTCTGTAAAGGTGTGTGCAGGCCAAGGAATCATACAAAACTTCTCTATCTTCAGCTATTGCTTTAGTTACTGCTGAGCAGCCCTTGTTTTTAAGAGCACTAAAATTCATGGAATCAATCTACCATTTATCTCAAAAATCCAGATGACTAATGGAGTACAGCTTCCAGACAAAATCTTGTACAAATACTACAGTAGTGACCACAGACTGAGAGAACAGCACTTTGTCTGGAAATTTATGGGCTCCAAGTTATTATTTGCATGGACTGAAAAGCTGTAAACCAACCAAAAAATAAGAGGTCAGTCAAGAAGGGAAGAGCCCTGCTTTCAGAAGAGCAGATTTGTGTTGGGATACAGTGTTTTCCACATCACATAAAGCCTCATTTGTGTTTCTCAGAGAGAACAGTTACTTTAACCATTCCTATTTTATTCACAGTGTCTGTTGACCCTATCTAGCTCTGCATGCTAAGTTTCTCGACTGCAATCTTAGTCATTTCTCATAAGATTAATTTTTTGGTTTTACTCTTAACATATATTCCCCAAAGCCAATGAATCCATTATCCATTTCATCTCCACACAACCAGGACACTTTTTTGTATGAACGTTATGTTTCACTCTTTTTTCTTTGTAACACACTGAGTACACTAACCTCAACTGGCTGCTGAGAGAAGTGAATAGAACGTGGTCTCATATGTGAATCTTCTATAAATCTGAAAGATTAAAAGCGTGGTAAGAAACAGTTATGATTCAAATGAGGTGTTTGAAATCAAAATTACTTAACTTTTAGCACTGATATAAGTACCTGTGCAACTCACTTTTCTTTCTGTTATTGATATCTGATGATTTAAATGATGGTTTGCTAGGGGAGGAGCTCCTTTTTCTGGAAGGAGGATTATAATACCTATACTTTACAAGAAAAGACTGATGCGATGTCTTTAAGATCCGAGGGTTAAAACACTGCTTCTTTTCTGTAAAGTAAACTGAATGTTTGTCAAGGAGGTCCCCAGAGTATGTTTTATGAACTGAGTTTTGAAATGTCTTCTTTGCGTTGCGACTGCCCAAATGCTCGCGAGATGGCAGAAGCAGTGAAACAGACGATCTGTCTGTGCCGGAGCTGTGAACAGGAGTCTGAGACAAAGCACATGGAGCACTATTTGGGATAGGCTTTCTTGCTGCAGGAGCTGGTATCAGAGTCCTTGAAGTGAACTTCTGAAATGATATAGAGGGGGGCTGCTCTCTCTTTGTTCCGGAAGAGTTGTTCCGACTAGATGTCAAATATGGGTGACCATTTTCCAACAGTGACCTCCTCATCTGTAAGTTAAAGAATAAAATTGATAGAAAAATCACAAAAGAAGTCACTGAAGACAGTGCCTCCTACAAATTCATTCACACAGGAGGAATTTTAAGAAACTTTTTTCGAACTGAGTCAATTGGTTTTAAGTGGTCTAACTGAATTACTCTGTTTTGGGAACTGCAGTTAGGACTAAAGCAAACATGCCACTGTGCTTGAGCTAGTTAATCAGTCCCCTTCCTAGTTTCTTTTCCTTCCCTCCTCTTTACAAGGTTGAGGTTTCTAATGACAAATAGTCTTGTGAAATTACAGAAATCCCATTTTGCTTGCCAGGGCTCACAGAGGGTGAACAGGAGACTTTTTTCTCCCTTGCACATTGTGTGTTCTCATCTATGGAATTCATGTATGACTCATGAATTCCATTCATGACATTCAATGTCAGTCTCATGGTCCTTCTTCAATGGCATCTTCTATTCTCTCTCTGTGTGTGCCTGTGCAGGTGTGAGTATGGCTCCATCTCATGAGTTTGAAGTCAAACAGAGCCACTGTTTTCCTCACAATATACCTTAGGCAAAATTGTGGCCTACCATTTTGCTATTTATGTCACCGGGAGCAAGATATTACAAATCAAAATAATGCACATTTGAATTGGATGACCTCGTTTATAAAGAGTATAATTTGTAATTTAGTGGTAAACCAATCTAAATATAGTCTTCTGAGAAATTTTTGTTCCATAGAGATTCTGGGCTACAGCAGAATGAAACGTTTGGCAAGAATTTGTCTAGTGATGTGAGGTCCACTGGTAGAATTTGGTGAAGAACAGGTCTACTCTCTACTCTCATGAGGTAGTACCATTTCTGGTATCTGGCAGAATACATAGAATTAGGAATAATTCTGTGTAATTCTTCAGTGTCTTGCTTTTACAAACAAGTAATATTCTGAAATTCAGATGATACTGTAAAATAACATAAAATTATTGCATTGCATTCAGTAGGAATAAAAAAACCCAACCAGTGGGTTTTCACTCTCTTGAAAATATTATGTACAGAAATCATCCTCATAAGAATGTTGTCATACAAAACAGCAAATCATTTCAGTAAATTCACTCAGTGGGTTTTTTTCCCAGGCTCCCATGTAATACTCTGGGCTTGTGAGTGCCATGCGCACATGACACTATCAGAGCAGGGACACATTTCAGTCATGTTCACGTAGTCATAACGTGAGTATCTGTCATTGTAGGTCATGAAGGGATTGCAGCAGTGCCATGGGAGGACAGCTGCCACTTGGCAAGACCGAGAGTCAAATATTATCTCTGCTTCACTAGACTATAAAAAGCCACACTGAATAAACCTGCGTGAGACCTGTGTTACAGGCACTCCCCAGCATCACAGAGTACAGCTGACTAAGGGGAAAATGGTCTTGTTCATGTGACTCAGCACTACCTGTCAGAACATCACATACCTTCTGCTGGCTTGGAGAAACACTTCTGGAGTTGAATGGTGTGGCAGGAAGACCTTGTACAAGATCCTTCTTATATTTTTCAAGAGTTTGAATTAGTCTGTCTCTTTTCTGTTGATCCTTGTCTGTACATGCAAATATGAAAAAAACAACCCTTTCCAGTTTAATCAATGATCAAGTCACAGAGTATCACTCTTTCATTCCTCTTTTCACCAGTAAAAATATTCTGTCTCCTTCTCTTAATACCAAGTAGCAGACAGAGAATGCAACCGTACTACTTTTTACATTTGACTCTTGCTGCTTCCATGTTCAGTATACATCTGAATTTGAAATCAGTGCGAGACAGGACTCCATTACATCACTCACACAGTAAGTAATGAGCTACTGGAGGGGTAAAAGAGCATAGCAATGTTCTGTTTCCACCCCTTGTACATTCTTTCCCCTATCCTAGGGAGAAGGTGAGGCAGGTAGAACAGAAGGGCTGAGGCAGTGAGAATACAAGTCTACATGCAAAGAGTTGGGTGACCAAACTCAGGCTGCCATTGTGTTCTGTGCAGATGGCAACGTCAAGAAAGTCTGGTTTCTGTATTGGTTAAACTCAGGCTGAGAAGAGTAGGTTGACACTTCTGCTGGTCCCTCACACACTAAAAGAACAGAACAGGCCTCATCTTTTGGGACTGGGACAAAAGAAGTGGTGGGTGACCCATCCCCAAAGTGTTCAAGGCCAAGGTGGACAGGGCTCTGACCAACTTGGTCTAGTGGAAAGTGTCCCTGCCCTCAACAGGGGGCTTGGAACTGGATGATCTTCAAGCTCTCCTCCAGTACAACCCATTCATGATTCTGTTCTTCTGATCTTCCTGAAAATATGCAGCTGAGAGCAGAAATAAGAACATTTATTCTTCAAGCATTTTTGCTATAAAGGATATTATATAATTTAACATGGAATATATTATATATTAAGTATTATAACACAATAATAAGAAAACATGGAGATAAGAAGGGAATAAGTTA